CACTAACCTATTTCATAAGCAATGCAATTTTTAAAAGAAACATACTTCACTGAGTATTCTTCCTTTTCTTTCTTTGGGATGCCACGCCATCTACTTACTTTATTCTCTCTCTTTCCCCCCTTTCCTGTCTCACTCTCTCTCTCCTCTTAAAATATAAAATAAATGTACTTTTGTATCCAAAAAAAAAAAAAAAGAAATATGCGTTATATCTTAGTGCGCCATCTGGCACTGTCTTTCTGCATTTTGAACAGAGGCCCCATGTTTTTATTTTGCACGGGCCCTGCCCTTCCCACCCCAGCTTTGCGCAGCTGTTCTCTCTGCTCCTTTCTCCCTCTTCACTCTTTTTTTTTTAATTTCTTATAGCATAACTATGTACATTAATGCAATAATGGGGTACAGTGTGCTGTTTTCATATACATTTTGAAATACTCTCATCAGACTGGTTAACATAACCTTCATGTCATTCTCTCAGGCATTGAGTTAAGACATTCATACTCTGCTTTTAGAAAGATTCACTTGTACCCTTGTAAGATAAACCATAGAGGTGACCCCACCAATCACCCTCCCTGCCCCCATTCACCCCCCTCACCTGTTCATTCTTCATAGTGCCTGGAGTCATGGCCCCTAGAAACCCATTTCCCCCTCCTAACTCTGTGATGTTTGCTGCAGGCATCTTTTCTTCATTTTGAGAGGAAGTTATGTATAGTCCAGGCTTTACTTTACTTTTCTTTCTTTCTTTTCTTTTCTTTTCTTTCTTTCTTTTTTTTTTTGCAGTTTTTGGCTGGGGCTGGGCAGTGCCCTACTCCTCTGAGCCACAGGTGCCACCTATTATCATTTTCTTTGATTTGCCTCCAGTATTTTTTTTTTGTCATCATGTGATCCAGGCATTGGGGGTCAACCTTGTTTTCATCCTTGAAGACCATACTTAGCACTTTATATAAATAGTAACACCCAAATAGATACATCCACATAGGATGCTAATTGAAGCTTTTTTGTGAACAGATGAGAAAGATAATCCAGATCACATAACTGGATTATCACATAGCAGAAACACAATAAAACCCCATTTTAGGCCTTGCCCTTTCCCTGAAAGTTTCTCTTTTCTCTAGTCAGCTAATCACAATTTTGTGTTTTTACAAATGGAGTCTCCAAAACCCTTCTAATGTCCTGAACAATTCAGACCTGGTAAACCCAAGGCCAGTGGTGAGTCAAGGACTACCCGATCTTTCAGTCCTGCTTCTTGGTTTGTAGGGGCCGCGTTTTTCACTCCAAGAAGCTTCTAAAATTCCTCCCAGAAAAAGCATGTTGGGAATGGTATCCTAAGATACCATTCTTCTAAGAAAAGATGTTCTCCATTTTCTTTTTGGCGCCTTCACTTACCTTTCATTGTTTATTTTTTCTAAATTCTGCAAAGTTACCCTTAGACTCTTTATTTTCTTTTTCTTTTATTGAGTTGTGTAAGCCAAAAGTGTGTTTAATAAATTAAAAAATATTTATGCTTTATGTTTAGTTTCTCGATAAAGATTTATTGCGAGAACAAGGCCTATGTCAGTCTATTACTATTGGAGGTTTTCAGATTTGGAAATTTTCAGGAAATTTAATCAATTATCTCCTTTGATTTTTAGAAATGAAAAACTCCATTAATACTCAAAACAGTCATTTTTATCTTGAGCAGCTGTTATTATTAGAAAGTTTTTTCTTATACATTCAGGCAAAATCTGCCTTCTTTCCAGTATTAAAGAATAGAAAAAGCTTATTTTAAAAAACGAACTTAGGCAAAAGAGGATGTCATTACTTTTCAAAGCCTATGAGAGATTCTAATAGTCTCCTTCAGAGTCATTGCAAACTTCTATTTCATTAACTTTTAAAATTTTTCCAAGCATTTGATTTTAAAGTGGCTAATCTATTATTAAGCACTTCACATATTTTAATTTTTAATATTTCAAACCATTTTTATTGCATTGGATTGGGAAGACTTTGTAGGGTGCGAGTGACTACCAATTGTAATATTGTGCTAATGTAAAAATGAATCTTCAAGTTCCCAAACTGACATGCTTATCAAGTGTTTTAAGTACAGAACACGAGTAAGGTGGGGAATACAAAAGCAAAGTGTTAACAACATGCTTTTTGAGAACTGGTTGAAAGGAAATAATGTAAGTGACAAAATTACAGACCCACTCAATTCAGTGTTGTTACTTTTGTTAGATTTCATGAACATATGTGAAGATTTAGAGAAAGGTTATATGGACGGCTACCATAAACTCTGAAATTTCAAAGATATAAAAATAGGAGGAAAAAGCCTACCAGGGAGACTTTTTGAGTTCAGTTCAACATTCAGACTCAGAAAACAGTTTGGGTGAGAGCCTGCCAGAGAGTGGGAGGAGAGCCACACGGGTCAGTGGGAGATGGGGGAATTCCTCAGCAGTTTATGCCGCAGTCCATACGTGTGTCCACATGTGTTTTCTCCTCTGATGCTAGCTAGCTTCATTGTGGGGAAACTCACAGAAGGCAAGTGTGCATTTGCTTTTATATCCCATAACTCCATCAGCACAGCTTCCAAGTTTCCAGTTACTAAAATACCTAGTCAAGGGAAGCCCAAAGTACGGTGTCTCTCTTCATCAACTTCATCTACTTCATTTATAACTCTTCCAAGTTGATTGTAAGTTATCTTTTGATATCTACTTATCATAAACAGTGTTGCTTAGAAACATATTTGACATTAAATGCTTATTGGGTTACTAGGAGAACAGAGCTAGGAAGTTAATCTAAAAGAAAATTCCATGCAGAAAGGCAGAAGATTTTGTTAACTTTCTGCCCACAATATGTAAGTACAAATGAGGAGTAACAGAGGAGCAGACAGTGTAGTTTCTAAATATAGTAGAACCACGGTAAGTTCACCACCTAAGCAACTTTAACAACCTGATCAACATAGGGAACTAGGCCTACAGTACTGATGGTTACATGTGGTGTGTATCTGGAACTAAAGGAGGTGGTCAGTTTTAGGGAGATCGTCAACCTTGGAGGGCCCACTGTATTATAATCTAATGAATGAGAAGTTAGACTGTCAATAATATTATTATCTTTGCCTAGGGAATAGGCAAAATCAAACTGGCCCCAAAGTTTCTGTGTAGCTAATAGAAAGATTTTATCCTCTATTAAGTGACTGCCTTATTCAGCACTATATTTCTGGTACAATAGTAAGTAAGTAGTCAGTAAATATGTATTGAATGAATGAATAAGGAAATGAATAAAGACTCTCCTTAGACGAGACAATGAAAAGTAAGCCAGACCCTGTCACTGGCAACCATGTCCTCTCCAGTGGTGAAACCATTATTTGCCCACATACAACCATTCCTACCTGGGACTGCTGCCACTGCCAATGACCTCACCCCCTCTAACAGCAGAGCTGCCTCATATATGTGCACATTCCCTTGAAGCCCAAGGATTGTCTTGCCAGGCATCCTTACCTAGGCCACTGAGGTACTCACAAAAAGTTCCAAATAAATCATACAGAGACTATAATATAGTATCTACCTAGAACAAAAGCTAAAGCACCTTACCCAATTGGTGCTATGGGATACATCTCACAGGAAAAAGGCTTTCTCTACAAAGGTGACTTCATAAAATTGAAAGAAGGTCCTATTCTATCTTTGTGTAGATATCACCATAGGGACACAGGAATATGAAAAAGCAAGGAAACATAACACTGCAGTAACACTCCAGTAACAGACTCAAAATAAAATAAAATTGATGAAAGACTTGAAAAGGAATTCAAAATAATAATCTTACAGAAACTCAAGAAGACATAAGGGAACACAGATGAATAATTCAAGGAAATTATAAAAACAATTCATGATCTGAATGAAAAATTCAACCAAGGTAGAAATCATAAAAATGAATCAAACAAATCTTGAAATTGAAGAATTTAATAGGTGAAATAAAAAAGGCAAGTAAGAGCTTCAACAATAGACTAGGTTAAGCAGAAGAAAAATATTCTGAACTTGAAGACAAGTCTTTTGAAATAACCCAGTCAGAAAAAATAAAAAAATAAAAAAGGAATGAAGAAAGTCTATGGACATATGGGATATAATTAAGAGAGCAAATATTCATATTACAAGATTTCTAGAAGGAGAAGAGATAGAAAAAGGTACAGAAAGCCTATTTAATGAAGTAAGAGCTGAAAATGGCCCAAGTCTTGGGAGGAATATGGACATTTAGATACAGGAACCTGAAAGATCAACCCCAAAATATCTTCTCTGAAGCACACTATCGTCAAACTGTCAAAATCAAAGACAAGATTCCAAAAACAGCAAGAGAAAAGAAAGCATCAAGTAATATACAGGGGAATCACCGTATAGTGATTTCTCAGCAGAAACCTTATAGGCCAGGAAAGAATGGGATGATACATTCAAAGGGTTGAAAGAAAGAAAGTATTCTTAACTGTTAGCTAAGAATACTATATCCAGTAAAGCTATCCTTCAGAAATGGAGAAATAAAGCCTTTACCAGGAAATTAAAACCTGACAAAATTTATCACTACTAGACAAGCATTAAGAAATACTTAATGGAGTCCTACATCCTGGAAGCAAAAGGCAATATCTACTATCCTGAAAATATGCTCAACACAAAAGTCATTGGTAGATCAGATACACAAATAAGAAGAAAAGAATAAAATGTAATCATTACAGAAAACCACCAACTGCAAAGATAAACAAGAGAGGAAGAAACATATTCTTTTCAGAGTCTATTGAATATAATAGGCTTATTTACTAAAATATAAACGATATTATTATTTATCAAACTAAAAAATGATAGAAAAAACTAGATAAATAATTTAAATACTTAGAAAAATAACTGGTATATAATCTGTGTCCTTGGAGTAAAGTCAATACTTTTGAAAGGTTCAATAATCCTTGGTAGACTAGAATACTTTAAGTATTAGAAAGAATTCTGAATAGTTTATCCTTATACTACTTTTATTTGATCACCACATTTGAGGCTTCAGTTATTGGTGTTTTCTCTTTCAGTCTGAAGTTCTTTTTCTTTCTTTCTCCCTTCAAAAGAAGCCATGCAAGTGTCCACTCCAAGGTACTCAGTAAGGGCAATTGACATTTTTGGAGATATTATTCTAGAGGAAAGCAGAGAAAGAAATTATGATCCTGAAGAGGAGTAAGAGACTACTTTGCAAAGATTAAGTGCAAATTACACAAAGTTCAAAACATTAACTTTATGGGAGGGCTGAACTCAGGTCATACCTGAGTGCCATCAACACCTTCAGTGCTCTCAACCCTGGGCTGTACCTTGGAATTACCCCTGGAGCTCTGAAAAGTCCCAATGGCCAGGCCATAAGTTATCTGTATATCACACCCACTGAGTTCTGTGGAAATATTATGTATATCTTTACTAAATAGACTAAAAAATGGAAGTAGGGACAAGGAATCAGTTGTTTTAAAAGTTCTTCAGGTGATTCCAATGTGTACCCAGGGTGAACAACCATTGGTTCAGTTCTTTGAGGGTATCTTCAGCTCAATTCTGTTTAGATCAGCTCAGTTCTTCTCAACTCAACTTGTCAAATATTTACTGCATCTTATTAAATGTTAGGTACTGTCTTAGGCCATGGACATGGAGCAGGAAACAATTTGGACAGTGTATTCCATCCTTAGGGAACATGCAAACTTGCAGCAGCCACTGGAGTGGTGAGTGCTCCAAAAGGTAGGGACAGGTGTGCCAAGATGGTACAAGGAGGGACTTTGACCTAGCTAAACAACCAGGGTAGCTCATGATAAATACAAAATATGTTGGGTAGATATAAATAAAGTATTCTTTTTATCAATAACCATAATTTTATAATAGTGAATCTCTGCTTGTGGTTTCTGCTCTTCTAGTACTTACAGCAGAGGAAGATGGTAAGAGTGATCATAGGGGAACTTTGGTGTGAAACACTGTTTCAGCGTGGATTAGCCCAGGGGTCCCTGATCTTTTTGGCACCAAAGACTAGTTTCATGGAAGACAATTTTTCTGCGGAGGGGTGGGGTGATAGTTTTGGAGTGATTTAAGTGCATTACGTTTACTGTGTCTGTACTGGGTCACCTGCCACTCACCTTATGTGGTGTGGCCTGGTTCCTAACAGTGCAACCTGGGGGTTAGGGACCACAGTATTATCAGTATTATCTGTTGAATCCTGAACAAATTATTTATTCTCTTTAATCCTTAGACTCCCTGAATGTGATACAGATTAATATAAAGCTGATAGAACAGTAGCTGGCACATCATAGGCACCCCATATTAGACATGGGTCTGGGCAGAATCCAATTAAAAATACTTGGAGCTCATAGCAAGACCTTGCATGAAGCTATTGGAGCTCTTTCTCTAAATAAAATGAAGAATTTACCAAATACTCTTAATATGTTTCTGGCAACACACTTGGGTTTTCTGTCTCTTATTTTCAAAATAGCTGCACTAAATATCAGCTCAATTTATGAAAGCCAAAATGTGGAAATAGCCTAAATGCCCACCAACCCAGGAATGGATTAACAAGCTGTGGTATATGTATACCACGGAATACTATTCAGCCATTAAAAAAGATGGAGATTTTACATCTTTTGTATTAACCTGGATGGAGGTGGAACACCTCTATTCTTAGCAAAGCATTGCAAGAATGGAGAAGCAAGAATCGTATGTACTCAATTCTGATATGAGGACAATTAATGACCTAGTACACAGTGGGGGGTGAGGGAAGGGGAGACCAGAAAGAGGAAAGGAGGAAGGGGAGTAGGAGGTCATGGTGAGTCACACACCTTTTGAGGGTGGGACACAATTACAAGAAGGACTTTACCTAACAAATGCAATCAGTGTACCCTGGGTCTTTGTACCCTCAGTGAATCCCCAACAATAAAAATAAATAAATAAATAAATAAATGTCATAGTTGACCAAAACCAAAAACAAACAAAAAAAAGACTGCAAGCAATTTGTGTGCTATTTGTTTCTCTGTTGAAAGGATACGTGCTCTGCAAGGCCCGAATAGTTGCTAAACTTTGTCAATGTCTGATGGAACCCAGACACAGCTAGTAGGAGTATGATAAATTTTCCTTGTATTACTGATGTTCTTTCTCTCATCATTCAAAAAAAACCCATGAACTTCCTTTATAGGCAAAAGAGGAAATAATGACTGGGCAATTTGTTCACAGAAAACTAAGATCATACCAAGGCCATTATTAACTTACTGTTTAAGGATCAAAGCGTAATATAAAAATTTGGGGATCAGTACATAAACTTGTTCTTCTAAAATAGCATTTAAAATTCTTTTTGCCACATACTCCTGCTCCAGTAATGGTAATAGAAAAGGACGCCTGGAATAACAAGAGCAAAACGTGAGATCATCAGAATGGTGATTTTTATTGTCATCATGAGCATTGATTGATACATTTCAGATACAGAATTATAATATATGGTTGTAAACAGCCAAATGGAATGTAAATCTTAGAAATTGCCTGTGTCTTCTCTCATGACCAATATTGGGACCATGCTCATATATTTAATTTCCCGGAGTAAGCTTCCTGCTTTTACTGACTTTCTGCCATGTGATGGTCTGGACATATAAATTTTTTTTTTTTTTGGTATCTTTCTTTCCTCTATCTTCCTCCCAAATATAAAATAATTGTATACATTAAGAAGTAAAACTGGCTGGGCATGGTGGCTCATACCTGTAATCCCAGCACTCTGGGAGGCTGGGAACGGTGGATTACTTGACTCGGGAGTTCGAAACGTGTCTGAGCAAGAATGAGAATGAGACCTGGTCTCTACTGAAAATAGAAAAACTAGCCGGCGTTGTGTGTGGTATGCACCTGTAGTCCCAGCTACTCAGGAAGCTGAGGCAAGAGGATCACTTGAGCCTAGCAGTTTGAGATTGCTGTCAGCTGAGACCCCACAGCACTTCACTGAGGTGGCAGAGTGAGACTCTATCTCCCCCCAAAAGCAAAACTGCAAAAATCATCTACTGAAAACTATCTTTTGCGTATGTCTAATGTATCATTTTAGACAGATCACTGTCATAGTATTAAGCAGAAATAGATGTTTGTGTGAATAGATGTTTAATAGGAGTTAAAATGGTTAAGAGTATAAATAAAGATCCCGCAGGTATTATTTTGACATGTTATACTTTTATGTTTCAATTACTTGAACGGCACCTCCCCATCCCCTGAATTTTGTTTCGGCTGATTCTTGAAATCTAATCAATTTGCCATAGTTGAATGTTGGAAATTAGTCTTTATATTTTATGGTACTAAAGATTCCTTAGAATTGTAGCCTAAAAGGCTCTAACATTTATTTAAAAACATACTCTACAGATCATTGTTTCACTCCCTAACATTTTAGGATTATTAATCTTTCTTTCTCTGGAGACTTCTTTGTTAGCTTTTATGAACCTAAGGATCCCAAGGTTATAAAAGCCATTGTTTAAAACTGTGGCCTTCACTAGCGACTGTGCCCCCGCACCCCATCCTGGCTTCTCACATTCCTTCCATCTTGACAGTCTAGCTTTGATTGTACTTTGTCACGCATTATTATCAATGCAATTATCAATTAAAATATTGTTATTTTAATGATATTGTTAGAAACAAAAAAGACAAGAATTTTAAAAATGTGTATCTAATCACTTACTACATTGTCTATACATACAGATGTATATACACTTAAGTTTGTTATAGCTATTACTGATATAAAGCAGGCATGGTACATGATTCACTATTACTACTAAAACACCCAACATTTTTTGTTATAAGTTCCATTTAGTAAATTACTTCCCACCAAATGCTTTTATTGATTTTGGTTTAATTCTTGCATCACATGTATGTTATTGTGGGGATATGTCACATTTTAGTTTTATTCATCAGTTGATGAATATTTATACTGTTTTTGCTTCTTGGCTGTTATGAATAATGTTGCATGAACATTTGTGTCTAAGTTTTTGTGAGGACATATGTTTGCATTTCCTTTGGGTATATTCCATTCCTGAAAGTGGAACTGATGGACTATGTGATAACTTTATATTTAGCAGTTTGAAGAGCTGTCAAGCTAATTTTCAAAACAGTTGTAGCAAATTACAATAGCACTAGTGATATAGGAGGGTTCCAATTTCTGCATATTCTCAACAATGCTGTTATCTCCTGTCTGTTTTGTTATAGCCATCCTAGCCGATGTGCAGAATTACTCACTGAGTTCTTTATAACAGCTTTATTGAGATATAATTAATGTATCATAAAATTCACTCTAATCTAAAAATATTCAATTTGGTGATTTTTACTACTTTCATAAAATTCTTAAACACCATCTAATTCTAGAACATTTTCATCCCTGCCAAAACTTCATACCCATGAACAGTCACTTCCAATGGACCTTTTCTCTCGTTCCTGGAAACAAATAATCTACTTTATGTCTCTATATGCTGTAGATTTGCCTATTCTGGAAATTTCATGTAAATAGAATCAGAAAATACAGAAGATACCAAAAAATGTAAACACACTTTAAGAAAGGAAAAAATGAATTAAAATTGTAGTACTCAACATATACTGATAACGAATGATGAGTCCAACTCACATTGAGCAGAAGTCGAACGTGACTCGAGTGTTACCAAGTTAATTCACTTTTTTCCTTTCTTTTTTGGCACTTTCTCTATGTGGCCTTTCATGTCTGGCTTTGTCACTTAAAGTAATATTTTCAAGGTATGTCACTGTGGTCATATATAACAGAATGTTATTCCCTTTAATTTATGAATATACCACACTTGGTTTATTCGTAACTTGATAGACATTTGAGCTGTTACCAGTGTTTGGATACTATGAATAATGCTGCTCTGAACATTTGTGCACAAGTTTTTGTTTTCATTTACTTTCAGATATATACCTAAGAACATAAATATGGTAACTTTCTATTTACCTTTATGAGGAACCATCAAACTGTTTTCTGAAGTGACTGCACCATTTTATAATCAGCAATATTTGAGGATTTCAGTTTCTCCACACTCTCATGAAAATTCATCACTGTCAGTCTATTTGAGTACAGCCATCCTGGTGAGTGTGAAGCAGTTTCTCATGGTAGCTTTGATTTGCATTTTCCTAATGACTAATGATGTTGAGCATCTTTTAAGTGCACACTGACCACTTATAAATTTTCTTTGCAGACATTTCTATTCACATCTTCTGCTAGTGTTAAAAACTGTGTTATTTTTCTTTTTTACTATAAGGTTAAGAATGCATTAATATTCTGGATGCAAATCTTTTGTTAGCTATGTGTATAAGATTTGCAAAATTTTTCTCTCATTCTTTGAGCTGTGTTTTCACTTTATTGATGTTCTTTGAAGCACAGTTGTCAATTCTGATGAACCCAATTTATTTATCTGCATTTGTTGTTGCTTCCATTTCAATGTCATAACTAATAACTATTGCCTAATCTAAGCTCATGGCAGTTTGCACCATTTTAAAGTAATTTTTGTGGTTTTACTTCTTATATTTAATTTTTAAATTTATTTTGAGTTAAATTTTGTATATAATGTGGGAGTTGGAGTCCAATTTCATTCTTTTGTGTATGGATGTCCAGTTGTCTCAGCACCATTTATTGAAAAGAGTATTATTTTTCTTCTGTATTATCTTGGCACCCCCATTGAAAATCAATTGAGCATTAATGTAGGAGTTTCCACTTTTTGCCTTCACAAATTTAAAAAGGCTTAAAATTTAATAACAATAACAATGTTTAAGATAAGGACTAGAAATAAAAAACCTTGTAAAGAATGAAGATAAATACATTCAGAAAAGAAATCAGACAATTGCTGTTATTATCGAAATTATTGAATATTATCGAAATATTAAGCAATAATAATAATAGCTCAAAGAAAGTAACATTCACATTGTCAAATAAGAGTATGTCTATTACAGAATGCGTTGACTGTGAGGTTCAGCATGGAGTCATCTGTTAACTTCTTTTTCTTTTTATTCCCCAGTATTTTCTATATAAAAGATCACATCCATCTGAGAATAAAGATGGTTTTGCTTTTTTCTTTCTAATCTGAATAGCTTTCATTTCATATTTTCCCTAAATGTTCTATTGAACAGGAGTTGAATCAGAGTGGTAAAGATGAATAGTGCTGTTTTGTTTTTAATCATAAGGGAGCACTTGTGCCACTAAGTATGATGTTAATTTTGCATTTTTCACAGATTGTAGAAAATCTGTGTTTATCAGATTATAGACATTCCTTTATGTTTCTAGTTTCTTTAGTTTATTTATTTATTTATTTATTTATTTTGGATTTTGCCAAATGCTTCTTCTGTGTACATTGCAATGTTTATGCAACTTTAAATGTGTTATATTAAATTTTAAAAAATATTTATCCAGCTTTGCATGCCCAGGATAAATCCCATTAATTATGTTCCCTTAATTAGGGGGCTGGATTCAGTTTGCTAGTTTGCTTCTGTTGGAGATTTTTGTGTTTCTGTTCACTGGTCTTCAGTTTTATTTTCTTGTGGATCTTGGTCCAGTTTTGACAGTGAGGTAAAACTGCCCTCATAGAGTAAGTTTTAAGTTTAGTTTTGATGTTTTTGTAAGAGTTTTTAAAATATTGGTATTAGTTCTTTTTTCAGATGTTTGATAGTATTCCCCCTGAAGCTATCTGGATCTGGGCCTTTGTGGGGATATTTTTGGATTACTAATTTAGTATCTTTATTTTAAGTTTTTTCAGATGTTTTCCTCTTCTCGAATTCATTTTGTTAGTCTGTGTCTCTCAAGGAATTAGACCATTTCATCTAAGTTATCTAGTTTTTATTGGCCAGGGCTGGGTTTGAACCCGCCACCTCCAGTATGTGGGGCCAGCACCCTACCCTTTTTGAGCCACAGGCACCGCCCTAAAACAGTATTTCTTATGATCCTTTTTCTTTCTGTCACATCAGTACTGATGTGCCCTTTTTCTTATTACTGATTTTAATAGTTTGAGTCTTCTTTCGCTTTTTTATTCTTTCTTGATCAGTCTAGCTAAACTTTTATTAATTTTCTTGATCTTTTCACAGAACCATTTTTTGGTTTCATTGATTTTTTTCAAGTGTTCTATTCTCTATTTCATTTATTTCTGCAATAATTTTTATTATTTCTGCTTGCTTTGGGCTTCATGTATTCTTTTTAAAATAGTTTTTTATGGTGGGAGATTAGGTATTTATTTAAAACCTTTTGTTAATGCATTCATTTATAGCTATAAATTTTATGGTAAGCACTGTTTTAGCTATATCACATAAATTCTTATGTGTTGTATTTTCACATATATATAAATTTGTCAAAATTTCTTCTGTTTTTTAAATTTATAATGTCATTTCATTGTAGTTGGAGAACGTATTTTATATGATTATTCCCTTCAAGTTTACTGATGGTTGTTTTATGGCCCAGTATATAGTTTATCCCAGAGAATGTTCTATGTGCTTGTGAAGAGTGGGCATTCTGCTGTTGTTGGGCAGAGTGTTCTGTAGGTGTCTATTTGGACTACTTGTTTCAGGGGTCCTCAAACTTTTTAAACAGGGGCCAGGTCACTGTCCCTCAGACTGTTGGAGGGCTGCACTGTGGGCCCCAGGACGAGATGGAGGCTAAGCAGGACAGGCAGCGGTGGCAAAAACACCCGGTGGGCCAGATAAATGCCCTCAGCAGGCTGCACATGGCCTGTGGGCTGTAGTTTGAGGATGCCTGATTAGTTTTATGCTCTTTTGATCAAGGGATATCTTCTAATAATTTTAAAATTACATTTTAAAAGTTATTTTGTTAGTGATTTTTCTAGGGTATAAAACCTTAACCTATCAGAATTAACTTCAGATTAATACTCTCTTAATTCTTAATTTATAAGAGTAATAAAACTTACTCTTATATATTACTTCTCCCACTTTTACCCTATTATTGTTATATGCATTATGTCTATATATGTTATAAATCAAATAACATATTTTTGTAGTTACTACTTTATAGACTTTATGTTTTAAAAAGTTGAGAGAAGAAAAGAGACCAAGTATATGTTCATAAAGTTTATTATATCAATCTCTATTTCTGATTTTCTTAATCTCTTCCTGTGGATTTGTATTACTATCTGGTGTAATTTTCTCTAATACAGCTTTATCTCTATCCTGCCCCTGTGTTCCTTTATTGTAAAAAATATTACATTTATTTATGTTGTAGAACCAACAGTGCTATTATGTATCTGTTGTTTATGCAAATACATGTATAACAAACTAAGAGAAGAAAGAAGCAGCATGCATTTATTCTGTCTTTTAAAAAATTATCTACTACATTTATTATCACTCTTTTTTTAGGATTCATACTATTTGCTGGTGTCACTCACTTTCACCCTAAAGAAATTTCTTTAGCATTTTTCATAAGGTTGGGTTTAATCAACAAATTCTCCACTTTGATTTGCCTTTATTTTTGAGAGATAGTTTTGTTGGATATAAGGTTCTTGGTTGACAATGTTTTTTTTTCCCCTTGCACTTTGAATATGTCATCCCACTGCCTTTTGGCTTCTATTGTTTCTGGTGAGGAGTTAGCTGTTCATCACATTTTGGGTGCCTTTGCATGTGTTGAGACTTTTTTTCTCTTGCTCCATTCAAGGTGATTTCTTTGTTTTTGTCTTTCAACTTTTGACTATGAACTCCCTGTGTAGAACTCTCTGTGTTTATCTCACTTGGAGTTTACTGGGTTTCTTGAATATGGAAATAAAATTTTTTAGTCAAATTTAGGAATTTTCTAGCCATTGTTTGTTGGAATATTTTTTCCTGCTCCTTTCTCTATATTCTTTCTTTATGTTACTCTCCTCATGTATATGTTTATGTATTTAATGGTGTTCCAGATTTCTTTGAAGCACTGTTTGTTTCTCTTCATTTTGTTTTCTCTCTTTTCTTCTGATTGCATAATCTCTATTCATTTATTTTCAAGCTCACTCAGTCTTTCTTCATCCAGTTCAAATCTACTATTGAGCTATTCTTGTGAATTGTTCTTTTCAGTTATTTTTCTTATTTCCAAATTTATATGCTTTCATTTCTTTACACTTTCCACCTATTAAGATTTGATGGGACATTGTTATCATACCTTTTAATATTTTTAAGACATGAATTTCTTTTGATCCTCGAACCTATTTAATAGCTCTGTGAAGTTTGTTTGCTAAGTTCAACATCTGGACCCCTTTGAAAGTAATTTCTATTGTCTATTTTTTTGTGTAAATGGGTTGTAATTTTCTGTTTCTTTGTATATTTTGAATTTTTTGGCAAAAAATGGGAACTACAAATAATGTATTTTAGGAACTCTGTATAATGCTTACCTGTGGGGCTTATTGTTATGGTTATTGGCTTATTTATTTAGTGATTTGGTTGGACTGTTTCAGTCAAGTCTATCTCCCTTTTCTATTGTCAATGTATAACTCTGATATTATTTCTCAAGAATGCAGCCTTGAGTATGCATAAAATCTCTTTGATTCTTCAGGAATTACCATGGTCTTAGCCAGGTAATCTTTTACCATCTATTTCTCTTAATCTCCTAGTTAAGGTTCTGGCTGATCTGTTTCTACTCATATCACAGTCAGCTCTTACCCTCCACAATTTGCTAGCTGGGTGTGTTGTTATTTTTGTATTTTGATTCATGGCTTTATCCAATTGAAGTTAGGTCCTGTGGCAAGGGTAGAGATTTGTCAGTCTTTTTTTTTTTTTGAGAAAGACTCTTCCTATGTTGCCCTCAGTTAAGTGCTGTGGTGTCACAGATCACAGCAACCTCAAACTCTTGGGCTTAAGTGAATTTCTTGCCTCAGCCTCTCAAGTAGTTGGGACTACAAGTGCCTGCCACAATTCCCGGATATTATTTTGTTGCAGTTGTCATAGTTGTTTAGCAGGCCTGGGCCAGGTTGGAACCACCTGCCTCAATGTATAAGGCCAGCACCCTAACCTCTGAGCTATGGGTTCTGAGCCAAGAGTTGTCAATTTTTGAGGCTGGTTTTGACCCTCACCTGGTAGAAATTCTGTGCTGTGGAGTAGGAGATAGATGTGATAGAAAAGCCACTCTTCACCAGCTACTCCACCCAAATTATCCCTATCAATCAGGATGTAAGGGAGGGTGGCAGGAACGTAAGGGAGCTGCCAACTAGCTCCTGTCATCACCCTGTGTGGGTCTTTCACAGCCCAGAGCCTAGAAGAATGGCTGTTAATAGTAATTGTCTGGTAAATCTACCCCAAACAGCTTCTTAAGAAGCTGAGAAAGGTGAGCTTACTGGAGCAGTTCTTGCACAAGAAAGAGCTGTTTGTGGGGGAGGAGTAGTCCTCTTCACCAAAACAGCCCTTTTCTGGACTTTCCCTATTTAGTGGGAATTGGAGGTGGAGGAACAAGCACTGTTTGTATGCGGTTATTCCCTCAACACAGGTCTTATGATATGGAGCTGTTGAAAACAGACTTGACCATGTTTACCTGGTGCCAAACTACCCAGAGGAGCTCTATCCAGAACCCCAGGGAGCTGGGAGGGGTGGGAACTGGCACCTTTGATGGGAACTTGGATAGGTTGCCAAGCCTATGCCACAAAGCAAAGTTGTAGTCCCTAGCCCCGATGCCATGGTCTTCTGGTGTGCTTATTGAATTTCCATAGATCCTGTCAAATAGATGCATCTCAATTTTTGGTATTCCTTTGATCAATGCCTTACAATTTTAAATGATTGTCTTTGCTAGTTTTGACCAGGTTAGTAGATGTCTCTTTGGGAAAGAGCTTTCATTTCTACATTCTGCAACATCTTCACCACTGGTTTTGGAAATCTTTAATTTAATTTTATAGCATCCCTGGACTCTAAATAGTTTCATTGCCTTTTAGCCAGCCCTTTCATAGACTGTTTGTCTTTCCTACACATACAGCTAATTCATATCATTTGGATCATATCAGTTCCTTTTTTAACAATTGTAATGACTACACTTGTCCTCATATCTAGTTTACACTTTTTAACATATGCTATGGCTTGGTCCCTGTGTAAAACTTCTCACATTTCATTTGTAGATTAGTTTAGATTGTTCTAGTGAAATTTAACTTTTATACAAAATGTCCTTTTTCAGTATTTCCCCACATATCTTAAATATTCTTATAAAATATTTTATTTTTAAAGTTACTTATACCTTTTTTTGAAAAAAATATTTTCAACACCACAATGCTAAATATTAAAAAAATTCTTATGACCAATTTCTGTTATATTTTAATATTCTAATGTTTCTGTTTAGTTTTTTTTTACCATGCCATAAACTTCATAACTATATTATCTTTAAAGCAAATACATTTTCTACATACTGACATGTTTTCCTTTTGCTAAATTAGGCATTCAAGTTATTTCCTTTGCTTTACTGTCTATATTTCAAAATTTAGTGATGACATATATATTGGAAAATTACTACAAGAGCAAAGTATTGGAAAGTCACTACAGGAGCAAAGATTATTTTAAGAATTCACTTACTTGGTTTTGCAGCCCTCAAACATTCCAGTGTTGATTAAAGATGGGCAAATAATGGTAGTTTTAATTTCAGTTTTCTTTAACACACATAATTCAAAAAAGAGAGATTCAGCAAAGCCAAAGGCTGCAAATTTACTTGCAGAATAATCTGAAACAAAATGAGGAGCTATTAGTAATAGAGTTTGACAATTTAATTCTTGGAATGATCTTAAAAATTGAACTTCTCTCCCCTTTCTCTGGCTAGTCCTCAAGGACAAACCATCAGTGCTCAAGGAAAAACCTCAAGGACAAACCATCACTGCTCAAGTTGTTTATGTGGTCAAGCATTACTCCTGTGTATCTCCACACTCTACACCCAACAAAAAAATGAAAATCATTTTGATTTCCTTCAATCCCCTCAAAAAACAATGAGCCAATAGGCACATTCTTCTTTTTGTTTTTTAAAAAGATGAGGATATCTCTTCTTATGGAAATAGAAGTGAATGTTGGTGTTATAAACAGAGCCAAATGTTCTAGAGATTTCCCCTTGGTGCAGGAAGAACTATCTATCTTGGAAGAGTCCTAATTTTTGAGTTCTGTGGATTGGAGGATACAAAGGCCCATGGCGAACAAAGTACTCACCTGATAGTCTATTAAAACCAACTAGTCCTGCTACACTTGCAATGCAGACCAGGTGACCATGGTTAGCCTTAATCATGGCAGGAAGGAAGGCCTTATATGTCTGGAAGGTATAAACATACTGTGCCAATACTTCATTCATTTATTACCTTATTTGCTCAATAAATATTTGATGAAAATTTACTAATTCATTTAACAAATACTTATTTAAGGTTATAATACGTTAAATTCTTTATTCACCCTTATAAAAGTAGGGACCATAGAGTTAGTGTTCTCAAGGATATCAGAGTTTATTATGTGTTAATCTGTGAGGTATCATTTGATTTCTTTTTCTTTTGAAGTAAACTATATAAACATTTTATATTTATGGTTGGCTAAAAATCTTAAAACCTAATTTTTCTAGTATGCTGAGCTCTACAGTTCAGTCCTTAGTAATTTATATAATTCATGCCCTGAAAAAGTTCTAATTCCTTTACCCTATAATTCTTAGTCTGTCTTAGAGAACTTTTCTGTTCTCTCTTCTCTTAATATCAGACTCTTTTATTTAAACTCTGTTCACAAATAATTACCCAAACCTTGGAAGTAAGACAAAGAAATGATTGCATGACAGTTTGCATGCTATAGCATTTTATAAGTACATGAGGGTCATCTAATTCTCTTGGGCAAAGTGACTTTGTTTGACTAGCAATTATTAGGACCCAGATAATTTCACAGTCTTGTAAAATTTGAGGTTAACCTGTATAAACCTATGCTTTTTTGTCTAATAGGAAAGATTATCCTAGAAATAAGAGTTGAGCAATTTTATTTCAGCTTCTTTCCCCACTGAGTATATAAATCTAAGTTTCTCATATCATCATTTTGTGTCATTTCTCTGGTTTTCCTGTAAGTGAGTTCAGTCATTACTTGGCAATACTCATTGTCTATTTTTTTTTTTATGAGATTTATACTTCTAACACTGTCAGAATTTTGTGTTTAGAGTTTCAGAGATACTGTTGAAATGTGTTCGCTCACAGGGGCCCGTAGAGCAGAAAGCAGCCTCTCAATCAAAGAATGTCATCTTTGCTTTTGAGAGCTTTTGTGTCTCACTACCCTTGTTCTAGAACTGTTAAACTGACTGAGTTTCTGCTTAGATGCAGACAATTGGCCTCTCTTGACATTTCATGTCTGAGTGTGGTGGCAATTCATGTATTTGCATCTTACGGTTACAACATCTTGATCTTTCAGAAATTAAAAACTGAAAAATCTTGTTGCATCAGTCATTTCTATAGGCTAGTTAAAATCTCAAGAGCTGGTTATTACCTTTCAGCACAAAAGTGTGAAAGAGCCAGCTAGAGCCCCAGATGGCATTTCCCAGGTGATTGCCTGGGAGCCTGGTGAGGTTTAGGAACTGGAAGCCTAGGTGTGGAGGCTTAGTTGCACACTACTATCAGTATCTGCAGGTTTATGAGACTTTCAAGAAAGTGAAGCTGAGGACTGGAGTTTAAGGTATATGCCAGTGCTGCTTTTATGAAGAATCATATGGGCTGGGGCAATGAGACTCCCCAGAGTAAGGGAGAGAAAGTAGTGGCCTATGGCAGTCTGTGGTATAGCTGGACACTGGCGAAATTAAAAACAAACAACCCTCCTCTCCCAGATATTTCACAATCTTATACAATTTGAGGTTAACATGCACAAAACCAATAACGATGTCTTACTGTCTAATAGGAAAGATTATCCCAGAAATAAGAGTTTAGCAATTTTATTTCAGCTTCTTTTCTCAGGTACCAGATGAGAGGTTACCAGCTCTAACCATTCTCAAGAGTTCAGTTTTGTTTGTTTCCTCCATAAGGTTTTTTTTCTTTTCGCTGATGTGTTTGTTATGTATATTTGCTTTTGAGCTGGGACTTGCTACTTGTTTCCTGTGTTTGCAACTGAGAAAGTTCTCCTTCCTAGTGGGAAAATGACTAGGTAATAACAAGCATCTGCTTGAGTTTGTAGCTCTGTTTATCAGTGGAGGGCTTTCAAAGGACATTGTAGGAGATGAATTGATCATAGAAACTCATCATTTGTGCTCACTGAATTATTATTAAAGGGAATAAAAAGGAATATAAATAAGCGTTGAGCTAGAAATTAGTTGTTGAAAATGTATTTTAAGTTTTGTAAAGTATTTGTAATGCCTGGGACATTAATGGAGAATTACTTATATCTATGAATAGTACATCCTTACCTTTTAATATAATAAAGTTATTTATATTTTAAAGTTAATGTTGAAAGCCAAAATAATATTGTTAAATAAGCATATGTATTTTTTTCATGTTTAAACTCATACATGATATACACACGTATTAAATTTCATGAGTGAAAGAAACTGCGTATGATAAAGATGAGGGACCAGATGAGAGACTAAAATTAGTCTTGCAGTAGTTAGTCTGCTGTAAATGAGAGGTATTGAAAGGTTGGATCAATAAATTGTGGTATATGTACACCATGGAATACTATGCAGCCATAAAAAAGATGGAGACTTTACCTCCTTCATGTTTACATGGATGGAGCTGGAAAATGTTCTTCTTAGCAAAGTATCTCAAGAATGGAAGAAAAAGTATCCAATGTACACAGCCCTATTATGAAACTAATTTATAGCTTTCATACGAAAGCTATAACCTAATTATAGCCTAAGAATATGAGGGGGGTAAGGGAGGGAGGTGGATGGGTGGAGGGAGGGTGATTGGAGGGATCACCTCTATGGTTTATCTCACAAGGGTACAAGTGAATCTTTCTAAAAGTAGAATATGAATATATTAAGACAATAACTAAGAAAATGACATAAAGGCTATGTTAACCAGTTTGATGAAAATATTTCAAATTGTATATGAAAACACCACACTGTACCCCATGATTGCATTAATGTACATAGCTATGATTTAATTAAAAAAAAAAAAGAAAGGTTATTCTTTACCTTCGAGAAGTCTGCCCCAAGGCAGAGATTCTTATCCTGTCAAAATATACTTATTCTGAGCACTTGAGCCTCAACTTTTGTCACCTTATTGAATGTTAAATCATCAAAAATTGTCACATCTCTGGGCGGCGCCTGTGGCTCAGTGAGTAGGGTGCTGGTCCCATATCCTGAGGGTGGAGGATTCAAACCCGACCCCGGCCAAACTGCGACAAAAAATAGCTGGGTGCTGTGGTGGGCGCCTGTAGTCCCAGCTACTCGGGAGGCTGAGGCAAGAAAATCACCTAAGCCTAGGAGTTGGAGGTTGCTGTGAGCTGTGTGATACCATGGAACTCTACTAAGGGCAATGTAGTGACACTCTGTCTCTACCAAAAAAAAAAAAAAAATTGTCACATCTCCAAGACCTAAAGTCCCGTAATAATTATTTTGTTAACTGCTATTAGGACTATTTATAAAATAAAAACAAAACTATTGTCACTCTAGCTCATAAGGTTTCACTCACTCAGTTTTATTTAGAAAAGTAGAACTGCAAAGGTGATTTTTACATTCGCCTGGCGCTTCCTAGGTGGGCAAAGTACCCAGAATCTGCTCCCTCAGCCTGAAATTTATGACATGGCCATTGGATGCTGGGGACATCGAGGTATACTTGGTGTACTCCAATTTCCCAATTATCTGATCCCCATTTTAGGATCTGTCCTGAGAAAATCTGAGGAAAACTGTAAAACCCCAAAAAGAAACTCACTTTTTCCAGGCTGAATTTAATAATACAGGTATAATTCATCAGAGACTGCACACTGGCTGGGACATATGACAAGGGCCTGGGGCTCTGTCAGTGCCCTCATTGTAGTAATTAACAAAATCCTTTAAAACAGGTCTTGCATCTCAATAATAATTTCTACTTTCTATAATTTGATATCTTTGGTGGTTGAAATGAATTAACTACACCTATTCAGTTTTATCATTAATAGGCAGTTTCTAGGCTCTGTCTTCTTGCCTGAAGGCTTATGATCTACAAGTCAGAAGTCATGTCTTATGAAGACATGGTACTCAAAATCGCAGAGTGGCTTGGACCATGCCAAGGATTGCCTTAGGGGACTGGCATCCTTACACCGTTGTGGTGAAGAAGCCTTTGAAGGCCATGCCCAGGGTTGAATCAGATAACTATGTGAAAGCACATTCCGGCCAGGATGGAGCAGAACAGAATTAATGATATAGGACTGGATCGTGAAGTTCTTGAGAGAAATTTAATGTCGTCAAGGGTCTATTTTCTGATGAACATATGAGGAAGCCCTTTTGCTTTCTTCTCAATCTATTTCTAACCCTCTCTTCAAGAAGCTATTCTTGCGTAAGCTGGAATGAAACTCTTATTGAACAGCATCTTAATCCAACTGATACACCCTAAATTCAGAGAAAAAAATCTTATGGGGAGTCTTAGTTTGAATTACAAATTGAGTCATCAAAGGAATGATGATATTTCTATTACTTAAAATTCTGATGAGTATTTTCACAATGGGTTAAACATATAAAAACATATGGAATAAAATTTAACTTATTCAAATCACCAGATGTCCATAAACAATCAAACCATTTCATAGATAACACAAAAGGCCTGGATTGCCTTTGTCCACTAATCTACTCAGGGCAGTAGAAAGATTCTATTATAATGACTGTTACTGATATCTTTTATTTTTCATGTGGATGGACCTATTTGTATGTGTTCAGTAAGAGCCACGCCCCCTTTTGCCAGGATATAATCAAAGAACTTCATAATGCAACCACACAGCACTAGGTGTGCCATATTTCAGGATAATTTTCATGTAATCATGTATGACAAGCCCATTCTTTCGGAACACTGGTTGTACCTAATATGTGGAACTAATGCCTACTAAGCTGCCTCCTCAGGAAACTGAACTGATACCTGTTGTGTGGCTCATAAGTCCCCTTCCAACCAGGTAATAAGGGAGGTTACCTCCTAGAAGGCTGGGAACCTGGACAGGTTTAAAGCAACTCAAGATGAAAGGAAATTTCTCAGTAAAAGTTCAGCAGGCAGTACCTAGATGAGACATAATTTTTGGATTAGGTTTCCTAGCCTTGGAATAGATGAATGAATGAATAGGAGCTATAGAAAATTTTTTAAAAATCTCTTGAATGCTAGAGATGAATGAAGATTCCTTCCATAATCTTTAGATGGAAGTTGATGCCCTAGTTGTCTTGGTTACTCAGAATCATCTCTCTCTAGATGTGCTAACATATGTACAACAACAGGCTTAGGTGTATTTACTAATATCTCTTATTGTTAGCCATGCAAATTATTCAAGGCAAACAACAGAACTCACACCCAATAAAAAGGTTCACGTTCAGAGATGACATGAGGCTTGGAGAATGAGAGGAAGCTACTGCGTTAGTCAGAAGGAAGAAAATTCTTGTCAGAGAGAGAAGAGCCTGGGCAAAGACTCTCAAATGAGAAAGAGCTGATGTGCTCTGGGGTTTAACCGGGATCCTTGAGTGTGAAAAGTGAGCAAAAAGTAGAGAAAATAAAAGATGGGAAGCAGATAAAGAAGGAAGTTGCCTCATCCTGCCTGGGCTTACAGGCCACTATGTGTTATTCTAAATGCATTTGGAAGCCTCTGAATATGCTTGGGTGGGGGGTGGGGGGGAGATGAGCTTGGTATGTTTGAGATCAGCTGGTTAGAAGGCACTATTGAAGGTGGAGAGCCATGAGGAGTGCTGCGTGAAATGAGGATGGCTTGTGGCACAAGGGCCAGGAGTGCTCTTGGACATGTCAGGCCAGGAGGACCAAGGATGCTGGCGTTGGGAATGAGGGATGGAAGGAAGGAAGGAAGGAATGAGGGATGGTCTCTGTATTAGTGGTGTGATTAGAAACAGGTTCACCGGAGCTCCATTGACCAAAGAACTACTTTCTCCCTTTTCAAAAGGAAAGGTTTGGGGGTGAGACAGGGAAGGGAATCAATAGTTTTCACGGTTTTATAGAGTATCTACATCAGGTTCTCCACAGGGCTCCTACTGGCTTCCTGGTGACCAAGAAAGAAGAAAGAACACACAGCTTTGAGACTGGTCAGCAAGTGTTGAGTGGAAAGAGGGAGGGGCCAGGGACACTTAGAGCAAGCCCATTCCAGGATCAGTCCTACTTTTGGAGACACAAAGGACTAAAGACCTTCTTGCCCCTCTTCTCAATGTCTCCCGTGGCCCAGGTTCCCACCACCTGTACCTCCTGTGAGCCTGTCCACCGCTGAGGTTCACTCCCTCTCCGATGGAGGATGAGCCCTCCCTGAGGAAAGGCATCTGGTAACTCCAGGCGTCTCCCACCCCCATCCATTCTTTGGACTCACACTGACCAAAGCGACAGCCTCTGGGCAAGCATGCGTTTCAGTGAAGCATGTGACATAAAGTGAAAGCTCAGGGCCTCAGTAATTAGCCACAGCACTAGCCCCCCATAGCCCCAGATGTCCAGAGGCTGCTGTCTTGGGAGGCCCAGAAGAGCATTGCTTTCACCAAAGACAGTTCTGGACAGCACTGTCCAGCCACTCCAGGCCTGGAGAAGACATTTCTGAGTTATAAATGAACTAATTTCCCTTCTGTCAAGAGTCTTCAGCCCTCTCTCACTTCTTCCTTCTGGAAGCTTGAGCCACCACATACCAGTTGCATGATGTTGGAGGGTTTATTTAAACCCTTTTGGCCTCAGTTTCCTTACCTATAAAATGAGAATGAAAAGAGTGTGGCTGCTGCCTCTGCAGCTAAAGCATTTGTGACGGTGCCTGGTCTGGATCAAGTGCTCAGTCACTGGTGGCTATTGTGATTCCCTCTGCCTTTGTTGCTTTTATGACCCCCATAGTCTTCCACACACATAGACCACCTTTCTGGAAATGGCCCTCCTCTGCAAGGTGTGACAACTCAGTTCTGTAACTCACCCTAGAAACAGTGCTACGTTCCCCTAATGAGTAGCACTACAAAGTACTCCCCTCTGTCGTCTGGTGACGTGGAGATGCTCAGCAGTGAGGTACGCAGCACTTTTTCTAGGACCAGTTCATGAACTCATTTGTCTGACCTCATACACATGTTCTTCCTTCCCTCTAGAACAAATGAAATCTTTTGTGTAAAACTGCTGTTACATTCTCAGTTTGTTACTTCTGAATAGCCTAGTAAGTCTTGAGACAAAACCAGAGAGGCTGAAGAGAAAGGAATTTTTCTGAGAATGAGGAATAGGGTAAGATCCAGAAAAATACAGATGGGAGTGGCAGGGTGAACCTGGCAAAGATGACGCCCCACTGGTCTATGAACTGAAAACTGCAATAAATGGTATATTTATAGACAAATGTACCAACAGATGTTTATACAAATACATGGAATTTCCATAATCCCCAATAAAAGGAAATGAAAAATAAAAATTTACCCAGAAATGAGATATGGCATTGACGAGGAATGATCTCTCTATCATGTGATCCGGAGTGTCCAGAAAGGTCTGTCCTGTTACCACACCGGCGTTGTTAATGAGAATGGTCACATCGCCAACTTCTTTTCTGACCTGGTCAGAGGGAGGAAACCATTAACTCAACAGAGGTATTACATCTGGATATTTATCTTCTCCAGTCACAATTTCCTTTTCTCATATTCTTCAGGTAGTTTCTTTACAGCTAGATATTTTTATCTTGTAATATAGAAATTTGGCAGTGTTATAGTAACTTTATAAAGAATTGCATTTCTAAAACAATGCATTTCAGTTTGGTAGTTTTTTTTTTTTTTTAAGGATCTTGACTCCTGTGTGGAGGTGCCCTTCAGCGTGTTGTGGCTTATTTTCCTTATCTCCTGTTAACACCCTTCCTGGAGCACTATTGGCATCCCAGCTCCAGACCAGGCTGTTGGTCTCAAAGTGGCTTCTTCAGATGGCAGTTAGCTCCCCTCAGCATGGCAGGTACCAGCTAGCTATTTCTGCGGTGGCATCTGCCTGCCTCTTCTTTGGGCAGGAAGGTGAGGGCACACCCCAGCTCCTGGAGGGAAGGCCAGTGCTTGGCATGAAGACCTCCCAAACAGACGCATCTGATCTGCCACCCGCAGACGTCCCCGATGCAGCATGCTCCTGGCCCCACGACCACACCAAATTTAACTCCTACCTGTGACTGACCCTTCTCCATCCACAGCTGTGCTGCTGCTACTGTGCCTTGCAAGTCCCCTCAGCATTTCCTTCACCCTCCCTTCCACACTCTCCACTTTGCCTGCTTGCATAATCCACAGTACAGGACAAGCCCTGCCCAGCGGAAACACTAGAAAGACTGTTTGTCTCTTTTACCAGTTTGTTGCAAATTCTGGCTTTGTAGGTGACATTGATAAACTGGCCCAGGGAGACAGGAGGCTTCCTCAGTTCGACACCTGTGCACTTTTTCTGCCACGTGTCTTTCTTTTTTGAGAAATGAAGACTAATTTTGATTCCACTTGTTCTGTTCTAAAATATACTTAGATATCTGTATAATACACATTTTCACACTAACTGGTGATGGATTATAAAGAGCGAATCCTACAGGGCCCCCAAGCAAAGCAGGAAGCAGTAGAAAATGAAGGAGAAGTAGGAGGGTGAGAACGGCGGTTTAGAAGGTGAGTGTTACAGAGGATAGTGATTCAATTGATAGTTTTGGATCAATAAACAATTCTATATATGGAGCTTAGATTGCCAAAGGGAAGGAAAATCCTTGGGTTTCTGTTACCAAACTGCATGTACCCTTTTAGATAATAGTGTCATATGTAGGAGTAAAGACTCTGGCTCCAACCTGTCTGGGTCAGAATCTTGGCTCGGCCAGTCATTCGTTCTATGATCTTGGAAAAGCTGCACATTCCCTCTGTTCCTCAGTTTCCTTGTTTGTAAATAGAAATGATGATAATGTTATACACCTAAGAGGGTGATGTTGTATTGATTAAATGAGGTATTAGGCATATACAATTCTGAGGGTGAGAACTACTTGTAATTTTTTGTTTTTCTTTTTGGTGCTTCCTTGACTGTGGCTAGCGGCTGGCCACTTCCCCTTCTTTAGCAGCCAATCAAGTCCGTAGGTCCAACTACTTTTACTGGGTTCTGGGCCATTCTATGCATACCCGAGTCACCCCAGGGCCAGGTGCCTGACAAACAGGGATGGCCGCCTCAAATTATTCAGATTAACATGTCCGAGACCTGCTTTCCCAGCTTTGTCCACCGCTTCCTGTGGAAACACTGGCTGGTGAAGGATGATAAATAGCCAATCCTATGCCTCGCGATGGGACTGGGGCTTCCCTGTGGTCCTGCATGCTGTGCTGTGCTCTCCCCAGGGGACCCTGAGCATAACAAACTGTAGAACTCTATCCTGTTTCTTTCTCTCTTGATCTTCATCTCCCCTCACCACACCTTACTCGAGGTAACATGATTACGGCACTACTTGAAAGCTTACCTACTGTTGTTAGAATACACGGTAACTGTGCAATAAATGTTGGCTGATGTTGAGAGTGTTTATCAATATTTAGAGTGGAGTTAGAACAAGTATCAACAGGCTAAGCATAAGAGCAAATGCACTGGCTTGGTGCCTGTAGCTCAAGCAGCTAAGGTGCCAGCCACATACACTGGAGCTGGCAGGTTCGAATCCAGAATCCAGCTGGGCCTGCCAAACAATGACAACCAAAAAATAGCCAGGTGTTGTGGTGGGTGCCTGTAGTCCCAGGTACTTGGGAGGCTGAGGCAAGAGGATTGCTTAAGCCCAAGAGTTTGAGGTTGCTGTGAGTTATGATGCCACAGCACTCTACCCAAGGTGATAGCTTTGGGTTCTGTCTCAAAAAAAAAAAAAAAAAAAAAAAAAAAAGTAAGAGCAAATGCACTTAGCATATTTTAATTTTATTTCTTCTACCTTCTATTTCATACTCTTTATATCCTAAGGACATGTTGATAATGAATATGCATTAGAATCATAAAACATAGAAAGTTAAGTTAAAGTTGACTGTGATGAAGGTTACTGGGCTCAATCCTTTCATTTCACAGATGAAGAAACGGGAACCTACAGAAGTAGAGTAACTTGGTAAAAATTGCACAACTAATGAGCAGCAGAGCCAGGACTAAGCTCAGTTTTTATGAACTTCTGATGGTAAATGAGTCGCCCACAAGGGCAGCTGGGCAATGCTGGCTAAGAAGGCTTATCAGATTCCCACTTGCATTGTTTTATGCTATAATCATACGATACAGAGGTTACAAAGGCCTGTTTCTGGCACCGGGACTTAAGCGGGAGACACACAGACACAGATCTTGGGGGAAGTCTATGACAAGCTCCTCTCCTCCTCTTCATAAAAGTGCATACTCCAGATGCAGAGACACAGATGTTTTTAAGGCACACAAGGAAAGAACCCGGCTCGGCTTACCTGATCAGCGACTCTGTAGATGTCTCGTCTTTTGCTACAGTCACAAGTATAGGCGAAAGCTTTCACGGCGCTCTTTTCCTTGGCCAGTCTACACGTTTCCATGTTGCCTTCTTCATCAATGTCCCACAGAACTAAAATGGCTCCAAGCCTGGCAAAATGCATGGCCAATTTCCGCCCTAGTCCACTTCCCGCTCCTGTTATAAGCACTATCTCTCCAGCAACACTCTTTTTTCTCTTGGGGATTATCTTGTAAGCAAAAGCCTCTAAAAAGAAATATAGAAATTTTCCCAGAAATACAGAGGTGTCCACAATGGTATCCATGTTGATTGACTGAAGATAGGAATATCCTAAAAAAAGAAAGTTAACCGATAAATTCACTGCTCGATGGCAGCAACTGCAGTACAAGGAAAACATTTTAGCACAAAGAAGTTTGCCTTTGAGACATTGATTTTCTATATATGCTTTTTAGCAACAATGGCCAAAATTGTTGAATTTTTAAATTATATACATAACTATTATGAGGATATTTTGTGTTAACAGGAACCTTTCCAGTTTACAGGGCACTTTCTTACATATAATTTCACTTAACCTATAGGTAGTTCACAGATTGGTAGGACAGTTTTATAGTTGCAGACATAAAATCTTCAAGCCCTGACGTACCCAGTATTATCTGACTAGTAAACAAGATTTTGGCTTCTTACTCTGGTTGTTTTTTTATTATATGAGCACACTCGATGATCTTATGTCTGATAGAAATTTGCCTGTCCCTAGGCAGCAGTCCAGTCATGTATAAATAATCTTATAATACAAATAAAGCTTGATGTGTCCTCTGATGTTTATATTCTGAAAGGTCTTACCCTTGGAAAATTTTAGGGTCTTCCACTTACCTTAATGTTCGCTAAGAGTTAATGCAGATTTCAAGTTTATAATCGGGAAAGAGATCAAGCTGGAGAAAACCCACTTTCTTTCCCAAGCTTATATAGGCTTTTCTGGCTTCAGTTAAATTCTGAAAACATCATTTCAATGATGAAATGAAGCAATATCTTATGATCTAGTGAAAACAAACACAGGTAGGATGGAGAAAGCATTCTGGGTCACAGGCTTTTTCTATGAAGACTAAGAGAGAATTAGGACTCTCCTCATAACTTTTCTGTATAAGAAAGTATCTTCTTGAGGCTGATAATTTATCTTGAAAGAAATTCAAGTAGCTTGCTAAGAAAATCATTAAATTTCAGCAACATATTGTCATGCTGTGGGACCACTGAGGACAAGAGTTTTGACATTTTTCCAATTAGTCACTGTCTGAATGTTTCCTGAACTAATAGACCATACTCACAGACCAGTGAAAATATTTGACTTTGGAAAAAAGGAAAAAAAGTATATCTGGTCCCTGATGTAGGGAATGCTGGCTAGAAGAGGCGACGGCTCCCAAGTGGGTCCTTGGATAGTTGTGACAACTGGGCAGTTAGAAAAAAGATCATGAAGCATTTTGACCAGCAAACTTTTAGCAAGTACGAGATGACATCGCTCTCATTTTATTTAGTTCTCAAAAGAGCCCCGAGGAGTAAAGATGAGGCTCAGGTACCAAGCTGACTTGCCAAGGGTTGCACCACCTGTAACAGAAGTGGGATTTGAGCCCAGACTCTGATTCCAGAACTCACACTCGTTTTGAACACTACATACATAACTCCCTAAAATAGCTTTCAATTAACTGGGCTTTGAATCACAGAGACCTTCTTTCATTGTTCAGGCATGTACTATTGAGCCTTCAGTTTAAGGCTCAGCCATGAGAATGAAGTATTAGTACAGCCATCGTACAAGTCGTGCAGGGTGGATGAGCAGGATTCGCGGTCGGAGGCCTCACTCGGCTGCCAGCCCTGCTACTGACCAGTTGAGTCTGAGTTTTGGCCTTCTGAGCTGCAGTGTGTTTATCTGTGAAGTGGGCACAACATTGAATTCCCAGGAATGCAATACATGTTGAAGTAACAAGTGTTAACAAAGGATTTTATCAATTGTAAAATGCCGCAAATATTAGTTGCTATCACTTGCACAGAAACCTCTTTGACGATGGCACCAGGTTCATAGTCTGCCGGCCATAAGTAAAGACGCCAAACACCAAGCCACAGGAAGATTTCCTCAACTGTTTAGGGCTTTGTCTTGGGCACAGAGTTTCTGAGGAGGGCTTGGGAGAGGGGTTTGCTGCCGGGTCTGGGAACCTGCCGAGGCTGCAGCACATAGTACACTGTGCTTTCTCTCGGCATCTCTCTGCCCTCTTCCCTTCACCCTACCAAAACCATCGAAGTGGGTAAGAATAATTAGAAAAGAGGAATAAAGAGACATTAGAGATGATAATCAGAATTCCTTCATGCCCCTATTTACAAATTGCAATAAACTGTGCACAGAGAAACTGATTCTCCACAGCAGACATGTGGAATGCTCCCCCGGGTGGCCACATAACCTGCCCTGACTTGTGGAAAGGTTCCTCTGCTCCCGCACAGGTGTCTTCACAGGGCTGACCAGATAGAGCTTGTGTCAACAGCTTAAAGATGTGTCTTACGAAACTGTGGCATTCCTTGTCCTTATTCTTTTGATATTTGGGCGCCAAATAAAGCATCTTCAATCATGAGAACTTGCCTAAGCTCCTCCTGCGCTGGCCTCAGGTGATGGTAGCACACAGCCTGCATTTCCAACTCTCAAAGCAGGCATGTCCTGTGAAAATACATGTTCACAGTAATTTACAGGTGGAACACTGTCATTGCATCAGGCCTCCAGTGAGTGTCCAGAAATCTATATTTCTACCTTGAGGACACAAACATTTCTTTAGCTCAGTTAGGAAAATGTAAAATACAGTTGTAGACTCATCTAAACAATTTGATAGTCAAGATACAATATTTTTCCCTAATATTTATTATGGAGATTTACCAACATACAGAAAATTTGGGGAAATGGTACTTGAGTGATCCAAGAACCTACAGTTGAGCTGAACCCCTGGACCCCACATTTACTATCTAGCTTTCTAACTCCTCTCTGCATCTCTGGCTGAACCATTTGAAAGTAAACCTCAGATATCATAATACTGTATTTTGAATACACAGCCCTCACCTCCTGAGGAGTTAACCTATACAATCCCAATAAAATGATCGGACCTAATACAATTAATATTAATTAATACTATCATTTAATGTTAATCCATATTAAAAATTTCCCCCCTTGTCTCAAGGATCCAATTAAGATTTATGTATTGCATCTGGTTGTGATATCTCTTCACTATTTTCTTTTGGCTGTAACAGCTCTGCCCCATCTTTCTGAACTATTTATCTATTTCTGCATCACTGACTGCAGATTTCAGACTAGGTGTTGTGCAGAAAGTTCTAGCGTCTCTATTTGTCTGATTCTGTTTTCTCACAGTGCCATTTAACTGGATTTCTTTTCTTCGTATCTTCCTCAAACTTCAAGTTAGAGTTAGAGGCTTGATGATATTCAGATTAAACACTTCTGGCAATCCTTGCAACACATCATAATGTCTATCATCAGGCAGCTCCACTGTCACTGATGCTAAAGTCAGTTCTCAGGAAAAGGAGGCAGCCATAGGTTTCTCCATCACAAAGCCACATCTCCCTCTGTCAATTTCTACAAGTCTTCAGGATGGCATCTGGGCACCAAGTGACTGTCTTGCTTCCCACGATGTTTCATCTAATTATTCTTTAAACTATAGACTTTGCTTCTAGAGCAGTTTTAGGTTCACAGGAAACTGAGTGAGAGCACGGAGGTCCCCACCTGCCCCAGGCTCCCCACCTCAGCTCAGTGTTTCATTTGTTACAGTTGATGAAGCTGCACTGGCACATTGGAATCACAGAGTCCAGAGTTACAGTAGGGCCCGGCCTTGATGCTGCAGGTCGTGTGGGTTTTGACAAACGTGTCTCCCACTGTGGTTTCACTGCCCTAAACATCCTCCGTGCTCTGCCTGCCTGTGCACATCCCTTCTCCCTCCAAACCCCTGGGAACCACTGATTCTACCTCCGTAGTTTTCTGACTTTTCTAGAATGTTGTGCAGTTAGAGTCACATAGTTTGTGGCCCTTTCACATTAGTTTATTTCACTAAGGAATGTACATTTAATTTTTCTCCAGGTCTTCTCATGGCTTGATAGCTCGTTGCTTTTTAGCCCTGAATAATATCCCAGAATAATATTCTCTTTACACTTATTAACTGGCCTGCCTTTATAACAGGTATTATTTTGCTCTATTTTTCTTAAAGTCTGTCTCAAAAAGGAGGAGTCTAAAGAATGACTTTCTTGGCCACGTGGATTTATCGTGCTTTGCGCTTCTCAGGCACTTGCAGAAAGCTATATGAAGACTGTTATTCCAACATTTCTGTATGGCCCATGAAACCTAGCCAATGCCATGGACATGACAAGTACTCAGTAATTATTTGTTGAATTTCATTTAATTTATTAATGATTCTCAAATGCAATTATGAATATGGCCAATGAACTCTCAGTGTACTTAGAAGTTCTTGGAAAATGAAAAATTGGTATGAATTAAATATAGCATGGCAGAACAGACATATTTTGAAGAACAATAGCTATAGAAGCTTGGAGTTTGCGATCTTATTTTTTAAAAAATATTTATTCTCCTGTAGTTACTGGTTTATATGTCTCTCTCCTCCATTAGACTGCTAATGTCTCAAGGGGAAGGGCTAGTCCAATTCACTAGTATCCCTAGTACCAATGAGGGGACTAATAGATCAGCTCTCCAAAGTCAGCAGGATTCCAGGTTCCATCTCACAGATTGTGCTTTTTAGCCTACGGCTTCCTTCCTCAGGTTCACAACATAGCTGCTGGGGCTTCAACCATCACATTGAGTTCCAGCCAGAATGAAGGGGGAGGCAAAAAACAAAAAGAGCATTTTCTGTGAAACCTGTTTTTGCTACTTCTGCTTACATCTTCATGGCCCCTCCTATCTGCAGAGGAAGTTAGGAAATGTCATTCTTAGCTGGGCATATTGGTCCTCCAAGAAAATCAACCTTCTGTTACTAGGTAAGCAGTCAGTAGAAAGTATTCAGTCTCAATCAGTTTGGAGAAAAATTTCCTATTTTTCTGTCTTGAAACCTTTAGTAGACTTGACTTTAGTTGACTCCATCCTTCCGATTCTCTTCTGATATGATTTTGTGGAGATAGTACTTTGATACATACATATGATGCATACATATATCCCTTCAGACCAAGAGTTTGAGAACAGCCTGGGCAACAAAAAAGAAGAATAATTTTTTAAATTAAAGGAATAGCACTTTATTTCCCTAAATTGTTTTAGCTCTTAAGACT